CCCGCCACCTTAGGTGTACGTGGCTGGCGCCCTAGCCGGTTGAGCTATAGGCGCCGAGCCTGTTTAAGTTTTCTAACCTTTCCTCCTTTAATGCTTTCAGTATTTTTCCCATCCCTTGATTAGACATTTGAATTTTTTAATAAATTCTCTGTTCTTAACCTTGTAACATTTTTTATCTAATTAATGCTCATTATTTTTTTTCTTTTTTCTTCTTTTAGTGATAGGGTAGAGTGCCTTGGCATCATCACAGCTCACAGCAACCTCAAACTCCTGGGATCAAGTGATCTCTTTTGCCTTAGCCTCCCAAGTGGCTAGGCGTACAGGTGCCCGCCACAACACTGAGTTTATCTATATGTGTATCTCTCTCTCGCTCCCCCCCCCATACATATATAGAGAGAGACAGACAGACGTTCTCATTCTGTTGCCCCAGTCTAGTTCTCTGCAACCTCCAACTCCTGGGCTCAAGTGGTTCTCTTGCTCAGCCTCCCGAGTAGCTGGGACTACAGGCACTTGCAACAACGCTGGGCTAATTTTTTCTACTTTTAGTAGAGACACGATCTTGCTTTTACTCAGGCTGGTCTTGAACTCCTGAGCTCAAGTGATCCTCCTGCCTCAGCCTCCCAGCATGCTAGGATTATAGGCATGAGCCACTGCGCTGGGCCAATGCTGATTTTCTTTTTGTGAGGAGTGGGGAAGAAGCAGGGATGGGGGTTACCTACCTTCATCCATCAAAGAGGGATTTTTTCCTACTATACATTGTCATAACATGTCTGTATTGGTAAAACATTTAGAAACATCAGAAGAGTGCGGGAAGCAGTAAAATATGTCTAAAAATGAAAATACTCTATTTTTAAGTCAAGTTAGAATTAGAAATTTGTATTCAAAACTTTTTTTTTTTTTAAGAGATAGAGTCTCACTTTGTTGCCCTTGGTGGAGTGCCGTAGTGTCACAGCTCACAGCAACCTCCAGCTCTTGGGCTTAGGTGATTCTCTTGCCTCAGCCTACCAAGTAGCTGGGACTACAGCTGCCAGCCACAACGCCTGGCTATTTTTTGTTGCAGTTTGGCTGGGGCCGGGTTTGAACACACCACCCTCAGTATATGAGGCTGGTGTCCTGCTCACTGAGACCCAGGTGCCGCCCTGTATTCAAAACTTTTTACTTACTTTAGAATCAGGTTCTAATTTAAATATAATTAAAATAATATTTTGTCTGCAAATACATCTACTTAATAACATCTTAGTACCTAACACTGAATTAGAAGGCTAGATCTTTGAGTAAAATATGATTATTCTGCAAATAAGGCTGCAGTTGGGCAGCGCCTGTGGCTCAAAGGAGTAAGGCGCTGGCCCCATATACTGAGGTGGTGGGTTCAAACCCAGCCCTGGCCAAAAACTGCAAAAAAAAAAAAATAAAATAAAATAAAATAAGGCTGTAGTTGACGTTAATTAGTACCTTGGCCCTCGATTTTTTTTTTTTTTTTGGTAAAACAAAGGAAAAGAGTCCCCTGATAACCTGCTAAATATTTGATTCTAAAATCATCAAGGTACCTACCAGAATCTTCCATGGGTTCAGTTTTCACATTGGGGGGCCCACAGCTGCAAGGAAAAGGGGACCCGAGTCAAGATGGGCAGAGTGAGGACTGACCACAGGCGCTTGGGCTGAATTCAAATGCCCCATCTCCAGGCCCTCAAATCCCCTCCCCCCATCAATTGATGCAAAATTTCCTCAACTCTAACATTAGTATTCTTAATAATTTATTATAAAATTAAAGGTATCAACTGAAAATAGTCTTAGAAATTCCAATCATCCTTTTAATAAAGAATGTTAGAACAAAGTAAGAAAGAGTAGGATATTAATACTTCAAATTATACTTCAAATGTTACAGGAAAACCTTTTTTTTTTAAAAATTAATTAATTTTTTTAATAGTTTTTTTTCTTTTGCGCAGTTTTTAGCTGGGGCTAGGTTTGAACCTGCCACCTCCAGCATATGGGGCCGGTGCCCTACTCCTTTGAGCCACAGATGCTGCCCACTGGAAAACCTTTTTTGTTGTTGTTTGTTTTTGAGACAGTCTCAAGCTGTAGCACTAGGTAGAGTGCTCTGGCATTATAGCTCACAGCAACCTCCAACTCCTTGGACTCTAGCAATCCTCTTACCTTAGTTTTTCTATTTTTAGTAGAGATGGGGGTCTCAATTTTTGCTCAGGCTTGTCTTGAACCTGTGAGCTCAAGTAATCCACCCACTTCAGCCTCCCAGAGTGCTAAGATTACAAGTGTGAGCTACTGCGCCCAGCCTAGGAAAGCCTTTAAACAGTCTAAAAATACTTTGTGGTTGGATGTGGATTTTATTTTTTATCCTTTACCTTTCACTTGGTGACATTATTGATCTCTTGGTGTCTTTTTCCATCATATGACCACCTGCACAGGAATAAAAAGACACATACCAGCCCCTTTTAGCACCTTGAAATATGATGCACGTTCAAAGGCATTTAAACTGAAAGCAAATACAGGGAAAAAAGAACTCCCAGCTGGCGGTGATCATGGAATAAGAGTAGGGCAGACACCAACTCAATGTAGCCTGTGTTCTGGGGGCATTTTCCGGGGGAGGCTGGAGGTGTGACTGGTGAGGGGCTTCTGGGCTGAAGTAGAGGTGTGTGGCACAGCCTCACTGTGCCAGCTAGGTAGCCCTGAAACAGCCACTGACCTCCCTCTACCTCCATTTCCTCATGAACGTGGCGGTGGTGCAAGATCGTCAAGATAAGCACAGTAATCGGAACAGTGCCTGGCACCATGAGCACTAAGTAAGTGTCATCTGTATTACGGGAGTTCCTCCTCATCCTCGGCTTCACTTTCTTTCCTTGGTTCATTTCCTGAGGTCAACCAAGGTCTGGAAATATTAAATGGCAAATTCCAGAAATAAACAATTCATAAGTCTTAAATTCAATGCTGTTCTGAGAGGTGTAATGAAAACTCGACTCTGCCTGCTGTGCTCGGCTGGGGCCATGAATTGGGCCTTTGTCCAGTGTCTCCACTGCTGTCTATGCTACTCTCCTGTGAGTCACTTACGAGTTGCCTGGCTTATCAAATCGGCTGTTGAGAGATTGCAGTGCCACTGTTCAGGTCACCTTTATTTGACTTCATAATGACCCCAACGTGCAAGGGAAGCTATGGTGGCAATTCAGGTATGCCAAAGAAAGCTGTAAAATGCTTCCTTTAAGTAAAAAGGTAAAAAGTTCTTGACTTATGGAAAGAAAAATATAATTTTGATTAAGTATATTGTTATAATTATTGTTCTATTATTATTATTAATCTCTTATATTTCTAATTAATAAATTAAAACTTTATCCCAGGTATGTATGTGTAGGAAAAAACATAGGGTTTGGTACTATCTGGGTTTTCAGGCGTCCCCTGGGGAGACTTGGAAAGAACCCAGACATAAGGGGGGATGCTTGTATTATTGTTATTCTATAAGATGACACGGGCCTTCTGGGATGACAATCACAAGATCACCTGCCATCCTCCCTTCCACTTGCCCTCCTTTAACATGGGCTAGAGGACTACAAAAACTTACCAATGCTCTAAGCACAGACTATACCCTGTGATTAGTCTGTAGCTCAGAAGAACCTGGGCATGTCACACCACCCCCAGTACCCAGCAGGTGCCTTGTGAACTGCATGACCCCCACCCGTGGCCATCTCATTCCCCATGCAGTCTCAGCAAGGTAGCCTCTTTATACCTGATCTTTCACGAACAGGCTGAGGCTCCCAACTATGTTCCAACATAATAATCTGAGAAAATAAGAGGTGGGCATAGGCGATCTCCAAGTGCTTCTGGCAAAGTTACTCTTAGGGGGAGATTCTTCAATCATCCTGAGTCAAGGAGGTTGGGCAGGGCTTCTGGGTTCCCAACATGGTCCCAAACACCCTTGCACAGAGCTTCCACCTATTCACAGGGGGCAGCTTCCCAATCTGTTGAGACTCTGCTTATTTTGAGGGCCAGTGCTTCCAAATGAACAATTCTAACCCTTTTCCCTGGCTTTCAGGGACATCCTCCAGCCATCCCGAGGGCAATACGGGACACCTCAGCTTTCTGACGGATAGAATCATTCCTTTTCCCAGTGAGACCCAAGTGTGGAAACACATCCTAGATCTACTCATGCCTCTAACAACGCCTTGCCTGTGACTAGTGGTCAAAGGCCGCACAGTGACTCCCAGCATTCACATACTCCTGTGCATGAGGACAGGGGAGGTCTTCCTGCTCTCCATGGTTCCTAAGCCACAAATCTCCTACAAACATCTGACCCTCTGCCCTGAAATATCTCTTCAATGAGGAGAAACCAGAGAATGTGCCAGAGGGTGTATTTTTCTTTCTTTCTTTTTTTTTTTTTTTGCAGTTTTTGGCCAGGGCTGGGTTTGAACCTCCCTTCTCTGGCCTACGGGGCCGGCGCCCTACCCTTTTGAGCCACAGGCACCACCCTAGAGCGTGCATTTTCATGAAGGAAGCAGAAGTGGTTGGCAGCTTGGGGTAGCCACCAAGCCTGAGTTGTCACTTACCCAGCTGACTCTCTGGACACAGGAAAGGTCTGCAAGAAAACCAATACTATTACCCAATAGGAACACACAAGAAAAAACAGTATTACACATCTGAAAAATCAACTTTTGAATGTAATAGGACATAATTAACAAATCACTCAAAACTGGGCGGTCATTTTATCTTTAAATGAACTAACATTATGAGGGGGCAGTGCATTTCACCTGTTTATGATGAATGAAATCCCCGTTTTGTTCTCCAGAATCCACTTCAGGGTTACAAGGTCATAATTCCCAGGGTGTTGAAAGGCAACTCCTTCCGGAAGCCCCTGTACTACCACAGCTGCCTGGTCTCGTAGCATCTGCTCATAGGGAACAGGTACCATTGCTGTGCTCCCTAACGCTTTACCTAAGAGAAATGGCAGAACATCTTCAATTATTATTTTTTGGTTTTGTATTGTTTTGTTTTTGCTTTGTTTGAGACAAGCTTTTTTGCCCAGGCTGGAGTTCAGTGGCATGATCATTGCTCACCATAGCCTTGAACTCCTGGACTCATGTGATCTTCTTGTCTCAGCCTCCTGAGTAACTGGGAATGAAGAAATGTGTCACCATGTCCAACTAATTTTTTTTCTTTTTTTAGAGACAGGGTCTCGCTACATTGCCCAGGCTGGTCACAAACTCCTGGCCTGAAGTGATGCTCCTGCCATGCCATCCCTGAATGCTGGGATTATAGCATGAGCCACTGTACCTGGCTCCAAAACATCTTTAGACTGTATAAGCATAAGACTCCACCAGTTTGATTTAATGTGATAAACACATATAGGAGGTGACATTTGGTTTAGAAGGGATCCTCCTCTACTATCCTGAGTTAATGTAATTCCCAACCAAAAGGCCAAAATAAAAAATGTCTACAATGTTTTACTCACACAAGAGAAAATAAGAGATCTTTTTCTCCATTTCCTTATAGGTTGCACAATTTAGGGTACTTATGCTGGCACCCCCCAGGGTTGCAGGGAGCACCCCTTGGTCACCTAAGCTGGTGCCAAAAGAGGATGTGAGCCCCTCACCCAAAGCTGAACTGACACTATGTCACGCCACCTAAGTCAAGCCAATGTGCCAAAAGTTACAACCTCAACATGGCTCCAAGTCACCATCTGGGGCTGTGTCAGGTTTTCTGCACTGGCTGGAAAGCCCCTAGATGCTACAGCCCTATTTCTCATAGAGAAGTGTAACTGAGACCCCAGAATGCCCTCTGCTGGAGGTCCCCATAGTCAAATGCTCACAAGGACCTGTAGTTCACGAAATTCCTAAAGCTTAGAATGACAGCATGGTCCCTATGTTGCAATGAAGTATAACACTGACATATTTTTGGTTATCTAGCTTTTAAAAACATTGTGGATATATATATATATTTTTTTTTTTTTGGTGAGATGGAGTCTCACACTGTCTCCCTGGGGAGAGTGCTGTGGTGTCACAGCTCACAGCAACCTTAAACTCTTAGGCTTAAGCAATTGTCTTGCCTCAGTCTCCTAAGTAGCAGGGACTATAGGCACCCATCACAATGCCTGGCTATTTTTTTTTGGTTACAGTTGTCATTGTTGCTTAGCAGACCCGGGCCGGGTTCAAACCCACCACCGTAGGTATATGTGGCTGGCACCCTTGCCAACTGAGCTATGGGAGCCACCGGTATATTTCTAAGTCTCTTGTCTTCATGCCTGTGGAAAGGCCTGAGTAGGTGGAAAGACAACTGAGTGGCGGGGGAATGCTGTAGCTACCATTGATGGTCTTGACCAGCTGTATGTGCCTCAGTGTGGGGGCCCTAAAGTAAGATCGAAGAATGAAGACTGATCAACATGGAGGTTTCAGTGGCTCAGCACATCAAGATCCAAATCATCATCTTAAGGACACTTATGTTGGGTAATTAAGAACTAATTCTTTTTTTTTGGAGACAGAGTCTCACTATGTTGCCCTCCATAGAGGGCTGTGGCGTCACAGCTCACAGCAACCTCAAACTCTTGGGCTCAAGAGAGTCTCTTGCCTCCACCTCCCAAGTAGGTGGGACTACAGGCGTCCGCCACAACATCTGGCTATTTTTTTTGCAGTTGTCGTTGTTGGTTAATTGGCCCAGGCTGGGTTCAAACCCACCACCTTTGGTGTATGCGGCTGGCGCCATAACCACTGTGCTATAGCAGCCGAATAAAAGAACTAACTCTTTCCTTGATGAGAATGTAGGTTTTCTTTTTATTTTATTTATCTATCTATTTTTTTTGAGACAGAGTTTCACTTTGTCACCCTTGGTAGAGTGCTGTAGCATCACAGCTCACAGCAACCTCAAACTCTTAGGCTCAAGTGATTCTCTTGCCTCAGCCTCCCGAGTAGCTGGGATTATAGGGGTCTGCCACAACACCTACCTATTTTTAGAGACAAGGTCTTGCTCTGGCTCAGGCTGGTTTTGAACTCATGAGTTCACGTGAGCCACCCACCTTGACGTCCCAGAGTGTTAGGATTATAGACATGAGCCACCACGCCTGGTTGAGAATGTGGATTTTAAAATGTTCAAAACTTTCTAAGTAGTCACACCAGGACAACTGTCCGTGACACTGTCCTACGTATTTCCTTAGTGAAGCCTTGTAGGGGCGTCCAACCTGTGGCTTGCTGGCCACATGTGGATTATTTGAGGCCTGTTTTGCTTATCTGTGGTGTCAGATAGCTCAAAAACTGTGCACAGACCTCTCTTTGGCTCATCAGCTTTTGTCAGTGTTTGTGTATTTATTGTGTAGCCCAAGATGACAATCTTTATCCAATGTACTTCAGGAAAAAAAAGGCTGGACACTCCCACTAGAGAATTCATGCTTAAAGTGGACGTTACCGTAACAAAAGCAAAAATAGTCCTCGACGGCCCTCCTGAGTATCTCTGTTTCTCCTGAGTGGACCTGCATTCTGTTCATAGGGCAGGGAGGTTTCATCTCACATGGGCCCTCGGCGACGCCTGCAAATGCATGATGGGCACTGGGTCAGTATCTAAGCATTGTGCTATACACTGCCTTACTATGCTTCTGGTATTGAAAGGAAAAGGGGGAAGAAGAAATAGATATAAAAAAGATCTTTCAATTAAAAAAAAAAGAACAAGGTATTTATGATGAAAGGATAAAAAACAATACTAAATTCAACACACGAAGAAAAGGTGGTAGTATAAAGGAAATTATTTGTGTAACAGAAATTTTATTTGTTGTATAGTTGAGAAGCAACAATAATTGTGTAGGAAGATCATCCGCTGAGCCCAGCCTCTAAACGAATGCTGCTCCAGAAATTTTGAAGATTATTTGAATCAGGAACTAGTCAGGAAACAGAAACCACACAGAAATTGGAACAGGGCAAGTTTTATAAAAGAATCATCAACTCGTGACATGGAATTAACTCACTAAGGGGTAATGGGAACTCTGCAGAGTATATACGCAGCAGGTTGGGGGAGCAGACGTTACTCTGGGGCTGAGGCCCAAATCTCTTGAGAGTTGACATGGCCGAGGCCCCATGGATGGCAGGAAAGACAGCTGAGGTGTCTCAAGTGCTAGCTGGCAAGAAGGGACCTGCTCTCTGAGGGTGCCAGTGGAAATCACCTGCAAGTTGACCAGTGGGTGCCTGCAGGATCTGCTGGGTATTATAGGGAAGACGTGCTCTAGGGTGCAGGTAGAACCCTCTGGAAGTTACCTGCAAGGTGATGCCAAACGGGTTTTCGGGAAAGTTGCTCTTGGGAGTGCCGGTGGAATTCACTGGGAAATATCCTGTGGGTATAGTGCCACTGAAATTCACTGTGAAGTTTCCTTGTGGAATTTTCTAAAATTTTCATGAGACTTGCTGGGAAGCTGGCTGTGTACCAGTGGAAGTAACTGGGAAGCTGTGTGTGGTAGGAGTGCCCCAGAAACTCAATGGGGTGAGCACCACTGGGTACCCCAAGTAGTGCTGGTTATCACCTGAAGGGGAGAGCCCACTGGGAAAGTTCCCTCCTCCGCCAGCATAGCCCTCCGCCCAGTCTCTTCCAACCAAGGGGAATACTGTGCCAGCTGCCACAGGAGAAATGTTTATAGGGTCCGGCTCCAACATTACAAAGCAGGGCAAAGAAGGGTGACCTTGGAGCAGAGAGGCAATAAACTGAGAACAGTCACACTGCAAACCATCTCAGAGTGATTTCTTGAGTGAGAGGCCCATACAACAGAGTCGTGTTTTAAAGTCAAACATGAAGCAAAAGTTGTGTGGACAAAATTAAACCTAAAAACCCTCAGGCATCCATTAAGTTCAGAATATATAGTTTTACATATACAATTCAGCAAAGCAGTTCTTGTGGATGTTTACATTTCGTAAATTAGGCTGAAAGAATGAAGCAGATGAAACCCTATGTGTGTTTGGCCATTCGAAGTAGCTTGGCTCACAGGTAAAGTGAGAGGTAAACAAGGAACTAATGAAACTGTCCACATGCTCTGCTTGGGGGTCAGTAAACTACAGTCTAAGGGACTGCCTGTTTTGGTATGAATCATGAATGGTTTTTACAACTTGAAACAGTTAAAAAATATTCAAATGAAGATCATTTCATGACATATGAAAATGACATGAAATTCAAATTTCAGTATCTACAAATAAAGTTTCCTTGACCATGTCTGTTCATTTACATGTTGCCTATGGCTGCTTTTGTACTAAAACAGCAAGTTGGGTAGCTATGACAGAGACTGTGATGGGCACCAAAATTAAATAATTAACTATTTTCCCCATTGCAGAAAAAGATTGCCAATCCTTGATTGAGTTACTCAGTATTATTTTATCTTATTTATTTATTTTTTTTGAGACAGTCTCACTTTGTTGCCCTCAGTAGAGTACCACAGTGCCATAGCTCCCAGCAACATCAAACTCTTGGGTTCAAGAGATCCTCTCGTGGCTCGGCGCCTATAGTTCAACCAGCTAAGGCACCAGCCACGTACACCTAAGGTGGTGGGTTCGAATCCCCAGCCCGGACCCGCCAAACAACAATGACGGCTGCAAAAAAATAGCCAGGCGTTGTGGCGCGCGCCTGTCGTCCCAACTACTTGGGGGGCGGAGGCAGGAGACTCACTTGAGCCCAGGAGTCGGAGGTTGCTGTGAGCTGTAATGCCACGGCACTCTACCCAGGGGGACAGCTTGAGGCTCTGTCTAAAAAAAAAAAAAAAAAAAAAGATCCTCTCGGCTTGGCGCCTGTGGCTCAAGTGGCTAAGGCGCCAGCCACATACACCTAAGGTGGCCGGTTTGAATCCAGCCCGGGCTGGCCAAACAACAATGGCTGCAACCAAAAAAAAATAGCCAGGCGTTGTGGCGCGCGCCTGTCGTCCCAACTACTTGGGGGGCGGAGGCAGGAGACTCACTTGAGCCCAGGAGTCGGAGGTTGCTGTGAGCTGAGATGCCACAGCACCCTACCCAGGGGGAAAGCTTGAGGTCCTGCCTCACCAAAAAAAAAAAAAAAAAAAAGAAGGCTCCTCTCGCCTCAGCCTCCCAAGTAGCTGGGACTATAGGCGCCTGCCACAACACCTAGCTATTTTTTTAAAATTTACTATTTTATTTTATTTTTTGAGACAGAGCCTCAAGCTGTCCCCCTGGGTAGAGTGCCATGGCATCACAGCTCACAGCAACCTCTAACTCCTGGGCTCAAGCAAGTCTACTGCCTTAGCCTCTCAAGTAGCTGGGACCACAGGAGCCCGCCACAACGCCTGGCCATTTTTTGGTCACAGCTGTCACTGTTGTTTGGCGGCCCAGGCTGGATTTGAACCCGCCACCTTAGGTGCATATGCTGGCGCCCTAGCCACTTGAGCCACGGGTGCCGAGCCCACCTGGCTATGTTTTAGAGATGGGGTCTCACTCTTGCTCAGGCTGGTCTTGGACTCCTTAGCTCAAGCAATCCACCTGCCTCAGCTTCCCAAAGTGCAGTATTATAGGTATGAGCCACTGCGCCCAGCCCTCAGTATTATTTTAATGTTAAACACTTTTAACCCTAATATATTTTGATTATAAATTTCTGTTGTTTTGAGAATTAAATTACTAAATAAACTTTTTTTTTTTTTTTGAGACAGAGCCTCAAGCTGTCCCCCTGGGTAGAGTGCCATGGCATCACAGCTCGCAGCAACCTCCAACTCCTGGGCTCAAGCAAGTCTCCTGCCTCTGCCTCCCAAGTAGCTGGGACCACAGGCGCCCACCACAACACCTGGCAATTTTTTGGTTGCAGCCGTCATTGTTGTTTGGTGGGCCCGGGCTGGATTTGAACACGCCAGCTCAGGTGTACGTGGCTGGCGCCTTAGCTGCTTGAGCCACAGGTGCCGAGCCACTAAAAAAACTCTTACACCAAGAGAGACTTGGTCTCTAACTTCAGAGGGACAGTAAATGTGTTTCTGATGCAATTTCACAGTGATTTTTCCTTATTTCCAAAACAACTTCTAAAGAAACATACACCACATATTTGAGAATCACACCCAGTGTTCCAGTTTCGGTAGTGGCAAGAAGTGTGTATCCACCAACAGCAGTAATAATTTCTGGACAAAATATTAAGATCAACTCTTTAAAGGCACTGAGAATGACCAGAAATCAAACAAAATTGGAAGGAATGCTATCTTTTTTTCTTTCTTTCTTTCTTTTTTTTTTTTTTTGAGACAGAGTCTTACTCTGTCACTTTTAGTAGAGTTCCATGGTGTTATAGCTCACAACAACCTCAAACTCTTGGACTCAAGACATCTTGTTGCCATAGCCTCCTGAGTAGCTGGGACTATAGGTACCCATTATGACTCTCAGCTAGTTTTTTCGTTTATTTTTTATTTATTTATTTATTTAAGACAGAGATTCACTATGTCACCCTTGGTAGAGTGCCTGGGCGTCATAGCTCACAGCAAGCTCAAACTCTTGGGCTTAAGCAATTCTTTTGCCTCAGCCTCCCAAGTAGCTGGGACTACAGGCACTCACCATAACGCCCAGCTATTTTTTGTTGCAACTGTCATTGTTTTAGCTGGTGGGGGCCAGGTTCGAACCTGCCAGCCTTGGTGTATGTGGCTGTTGCTGTAAACACTGCCACAGGCGCCAAGACTCATTTTGGGTGTTATCTCATTTGGTTCTTTTTTGGGGGGTAGGGACGGAGTCTCACTATGTCATCCTCAGTAGAGTGCTATGGTATCATAGCTCATAGCAACCTCAAACTCTTGGGGTTAAGTGATTCTAGTGCCTCAGCCTCCCAAGTAGCTGGGACTACAGACGCTCACCACAACATCCAGCTATATAGTTTTGTTGTTGTTGTTGCAGTTGTCATTGTAGTTTACCTGGCCTGGGCCAGGTTCAAACCCTCCAGCCTCAGTGTACGTGGTTGGCGCTGTAACCACTGTGCTACAGTGCTGAGCCCCAGTTAGTTTTTTAGAGATGGGGGTCTTGGTCTGGCTCAGGCTGGTCTTGAACTCTTTTTTTTTTTTTTTATTTTTTTTTGAGACAGAGCCTCAAGCTATCCCCCTGGGTAAAGTGCCGTGGCATCATAGCTCACAGCAACCTCCAACTCCTGGGCTCAAGCGAGTCTCCTGCCTCAGCCTCCCAAGTAGCTGGGACCACTGGCACCCGCCACAATGCCTGGCTATTTTTTTGGTTGCAGGTCATTGTTGTTTGGCAGGCCTGGGCTGGATTTGAACTCACCACCTTAGGTGTATGTGGCTTGCACCTTAGCCACTTGAGCCACAGGAGCCGAGCCGGTCTTGAATTCTTGAGCTCAAAAGATCCACTTGACTCAGCCTCCCAGAGTGCTGGAATTATAGGCATGAGCCACCAAGCCTGGCAAGGAATGCTACCCTTAAAGGAAGGGATGCACAATTCTGGGTGACACTTACATTTAACTGGCTTTTTCCCTGTGGGGAAATTCCTTAGTTCCTTTAGCACCCATGGAAATAGAACTCAACTCAAGAGCAGCAGTGTTAGTGGAATGGTGAAATCTATGTTGTATGTCAG